GTCAACGAGTTTTAGAACTGATTTCTCACTCCGCTGTGGTGGACTGCAGCAGCTTCTTCCTTGCTGTAAAAACCGATGGTTGATCAGGCATGGTTCATGCCAGAACACACTAAAATTCTAGCTTGCACAGGAAAGCCGTGGCAGATTCCATTTCTTCAACACGGCAGGAAAATAGAGTTATTTCTGTGCCAACTGTAATTCTTAGGATCTTTGCATACAAACAGCAGTTTCCCTACTGAAGCAGTGATGGCTGAGGAGCTCACTAGACCTCTACTGTTATTTTCAATAAGACTTGAAACACTGGAAAAGTTCCAAAAGAGTGGAAAAAAGCTCATGTGCCAATATTTAAAAAGGGTATAAGGGAAGACCCAGGTAATTATAGGCCTGTCAATCTGATGTTAATCCCAGGCAAGATAATGAATCTGCTGATATGGGACTCAATTAATAAAGAATTAAAGGAGGACAATATACTTAATGACAATCAACATGGTATATGGAAAATAGATACTGTCAAATTAACCTGACACTTTTTTTGATAAGATTACAAGTGTGTTTGAGAAAGCTAATAGTGTGGATGTAATATACTCAGACTTCTGTAAGGTTTTTGACTTGGTACTTGGTACTGCACAACTTCTTGAATAAAAAAACAATATAAAATAAACATGGCACACATTACATGGATTTAAAACTGGCCAAATGAGGTCTCAAAAAAAAAAAATTCTCAAAATGTAACTGTAAATGGGGAATCAGCATCAAGCACATGAATTTCTAGTGGGTTCCCACAAATCAGTTCTTGGCCCTACACTAACGTTTTTAATCAATCACCTAGAAGAAAACAAACAACTGAAAAGTTTGCAGGTAACACAATAATTGGGGGAATGGCAGATAATGAAGAGGACAGGTCACAAGGTGCAAGCAGACAATGTGTGTTTTAATAGTTTAATGTAAATGTGGAATTACAGGCCATCCTTACAGGATGGGGGACTCAATCCTGGGAAGCTGTGACTGAAAAGGATTTGAGGATGAAGGTGGATAATCAGTTGAACATGAGCTCCCATGGCAATGCTGGGCCAAAAGGACTAACACCATCCTTGGATGCATAAACAAGATAATCTCAAGTAGGAGCAGAGAGGTTATTTTACCTCTGCGTTTGGCACTGGTGTGATCACTGCTGGAATACCCTGTTCAGTTCTGGTTTCCACAATTCAAGAAGGATGTTGATAAACTGGAGAGGATTCAGAAAAGCAACACAAGACTGATAAGGATTAGAAAATATGCCTTACAGGAATAGACTCAAAAGAACTCAATCTATTTATCTTAACAGAAAGAAGGTTAAGGGGTGACTTGATTACAGTCTATATGCAGCTACAATCTAGCAGACAAAGGTATAACAAAAGCCAATGGCTAGAAGTTGAAGCCAGACAAATTCAGATCGGAAATAAGGCATAATTACCTTCACTGTTAAAAAATTAACTATTGGAACAAGTTATGGTCTTGGTGGATTCTCCATCACTGGCAAGGAACTTGGATGTTCTTTTCTGAAATTATTTTGAGGAAGTTCTATGGCCTGTGTTATACAGGAGGACAGACTAGAAACAAGATAATCACAATGGCCCCTGCCTTAGCATTGGAATCTGTGTGTCTAGAATGGTGTTGGAATGTGCTTTTGTGAGACTGAAGGAGATCTCTATTGAAGGTAATATATACATGAAGTACACTCTACAGCCATTGCTGCTTGTTGTGTGTCAGAATGTGTTATCCGAGGAGAGAGCACTGCATGGAGCAATGGGGTGCTGAGGCTGGACACGGCCCATTTTCCCAGCCAACTGGGAGCTCACAGACTATTACCGACCGTGCTATCCAGGTGAACACAAAAAGGGATACACTATATTTTGTTCACGCAGATATTTAAAATGGAGGTGGAAGAGAGATCTCCATGTTTCTGTGCACTGGCCTTCTTTTAAGTTAACTGATAACAATGTAGTTATTGCTGAATGAACTAGAATGCCCGACTGAATTGTTTCTACAGATTATACACAGGGAAAGTGAACACAAAGTATTTATTTAGACTGCACACATTGGTCTTCAAGGGGAGGGGCAATGATGTTCAATGATGCTGGTGGCTTGCATCTGCCAGATTACTAGGGGTGATTGTTCTTGCTAATGTCCTCACAGAGTCCAAAAATATTTCAGATGGCATAGTCTTGTGTTAGTTCCCCAAACATTTTAGCCAGAATTATTTTCTCTAGTGGTGGTATCGAATGCTGTGAAGTAGGGTTGGCCTTAAGAGGTGTAACAGTATCCTCTAAGGGTATGTCTACACAGCAAAGAAAAACCTGTGGCTGGCCCATGGCAGCCAACTCGGGCTCCTAGGGCTGTGGAGTGGGAGGGCCCTAGAGCTCAGGCTCCAGCCCAAGCCTAGAAGTCTACCAAGCAATGAAACAGCCCTGCAGCCTGAGCTGGCTGGCATGGGCCAGTCACAGGTTTTTCTTTGCTGTGTAGACATACACTTAAGTGTAATATTCTGTGTCTCCCGTCAGCCGACCTATAAAATTGGGAGGGGGACTGACATTTTGTCTATTATATAAAACATTGGTGTGTAATTCATATAAGTGTTAAACAGTATGTTCACATTGCTATTGGGACAAATTCTGTGCTGCCTTACAAAACATCCTTTGACTTCAATGGGGTTGTTTGGGATGTAAAATAGTGCAAAATTTGGTGATGTTGTGTATTTTGAGTTTTTGAGACCAGCTCCTAAAACAGAATAGAATGTAAGAAATGTGAATAATTAAGTCGTTTATTAATCTTCAGCTTATTTTTCTATTATTTCCATTTCTCTATTCCATTCTGCCATCCCCCACTTTTTATTTATATTCCATTCTCTTATTCTTTCACCTTTTCTTCCTCCTTTATCATGTGCCCTGCAACCCACCAACAGCAGGAAATTGATCCTTCACTGACTATAGTCATCACCCATGGCTCTCTCCTCTCAACTGGTCTTGAAAATTTTCCTTTGTGCATATATTCCCAATCACTTGCCCATTCTCTTTCCTGTCTCTATCCCCTTTATTTTCCTCCCCTTTACCTCACCCTCAGCCCCCCATCTTTTACCTTCTTTGTCCACTCCCCTCTAGCTCTCCACACTTCTTTCCCAACTCTCCTCCTCCTCCTGCTAGTACCCTTCTGGCTTTCATGCTCCCTCTCATATCTATTTCCCTCCCTCGTCGCCTGTCACCCTCCAAGTTAGTTTTTCTTCCTCCCCTCCTTTTCCCCGCAAAACCCAGTAAGGGCAGGAGTTTCAAGGATCAGTGTGCTGATCAATGGGCTGATCGATGGGCTCCTAGGAGCATCGTTTCTTCAGGACTGGCCATCCCACTCCTCCAAAGCTATGGATCTGGATGTAACCCTAAAAAGTTACTCCTTTCCATGATCCACTTAACTCATCATCAGGTTCTCCTGCTTCGTTTGCCATTCTCCAGTCTTCTTACCTTCCCCACATTCAAATCTCTTCTTAGCTTGTCTGGCTACAATGAAGCAGGGACTCTTCTGTACTGGTCGCCACTATTACTGGCATAGGGCCAGAATCACTGTGGGAGTGGTACTCTCAATCCCATCTGTCAGCAGCAGGGAGCTGCCAGCACTTGCTTGCAGCAGCACGAAAAAGGATGTCTCCCAGCAGGGAACAGCTACTACTGTTGGGCTGCCACCATGTTGTAGCACTGCAGATGTTAGACACAGAGCTTGTAAGACAGCAGGAAAGACTAACTGCAGGGAGAACAGGTAAGGTGGGTACAAGCTAGAGATCTGGATGCCTTGGTAATGTGATGCTGTTGGCTATCACAAATTAGTCCTACAATGTCTAGGGTTGCCACTGAGAGTCCTATCGTTGTATTCAAGATCACTGTTTGCGCAAACAATTTTACATCCATTAGGTGAGATTCAGGTACCTGCCAACTTGCCAAGGCAGCCATCACTTGGGTAGAGAGTTTGGACACCTCTGTGCTATTGCATAACAAGGATGTAAACCAAAGGGAGTTATGACTTCTGTCCCAGTGAAAACAAGGGAACAAAATAGCCCACTTAAAAATCAACCTATTATTTCTATAACAGGCAGTAAAAGAAATATTTTGAAGCCTTTAAGAGGGCATTACAAATGCTAGAGCATTAAGAACATATGGGTATTTATGTACTGAAGGCTAATATTCATGGCTGACTATTTCCTAGTTTAAGGGAAGCTCTTCTTTACTCGTCTGTATCAATTAAGCTGGTTTTAACATGTCACAAGGGTCTTGAATCTTTGACAGGCACTTTATGTATTGTATAAATCCAAATAAATAGAATAGTTATTTTAAGGCTTAAATATTTCCTTACTATAGCGCTTTCAATAGTTAATACTGATACGGGCAGGCCATTTTAAAGTCTTGTTTTTCACTTGTTCATAAATTCTCTTAACTTTGTCCTTTGGGTTGAAACTTCATGTTTAGGCAGAGCCAAGATATGAATTCCTTATTTTATTTTATTAAGTGAGCATCATCTGTTCAGCCTTTCTGAAGTAATCAAGCACAAAACATACAAGAGTTGTGGGCACCCATGTTAAATTGAACTGTGTAGTTCAACTATTAAATGGGTAAGGAAAGAGTTACTTCCTGACTTTACCGCATACAGTAAGGGATTGTGCCACGGATGTGCAATGTATTAATTCTCATTTAAAGGCTAACTACCATCTTTAGTTTTACCCCCAAAAGAACGCAAAACATTGTTTCTGCTATATTGAAATTAATAGTTTAAAAGCACAGAAATCATGAAATTGATAAACTATCTACCACATTACCTCTGCCATTATAAATATGTACCTTTATTTACAATGTGCAATATGGCTCTTGTCATCATATAATTTCAATTTTGTGATTCATGTGTTCTCATCCTTGATGTGTACATGTAGGGTTTTTGCACTTAAGATAAAAGGTTGTATTTATAGGAACAAGCATCCAGAAGGGTTACTGTAACTTGGTTTTTATTAAAAAAACTAATTACATATGTCTATTTTCCAGTACATCTTTTTTTAAAAAGTACTGTATGTATCAAACATTGATGATGTACTTGATCACTGTTAATTTTCTTTGAAGAGCTGTCTAAAAGAGAAAATCACCCCAAAATTTATTGAAACTGGCTATATAGCCTCAAGATATTTAAACTTTCTAGCTTCTTACATGAGAGGCTTAGTACTTTATAGCACAAGAAAAAAACATACCATTAGCAGGTAATATTTTGTCTGAATAGAATTATTTTGGGGATGCCATAAACACAAAACTCAGACGAGGATTTATATAGTGTTTAAGACTATTAGGAAGACTCACAGTTAAGTTAAATTTACCAGGAGGATAAATCTCATTTTTAAAAGGTTTTTTGTTGTTGACATTTATACTTTTAACAGCTCTTCAAAGGAATAATCGTGCACACAACCTACAAACTTCTTGTCTCAGTGTAATTTACAACTAAAATTAAAATAAAACATGGAAGACCGGTATCTTTACATTTAATTCTTCTTTAGAAAAAAGAAGAACTTAAAAAAAAATGTAGTAATCCACTTGTGCTTAAAATATTCATATGCATGAGAAAGCCAAAAGGGAAAAATACACATTTTTGTACACCATGATCAAAAAGTTAATATAAATCTTTTGAAATTGCACTGTATTTAAAATGCCCCCTAGATTCAGCTCCCTCTTCTATGTACAGCTTCTTATGCTGCCTGGCACAGTTCCTCTTGAGCCTAATTGCCAACCTGTGGAGGTCCTTCAGGGATGAGCGATGTGAAGAAGGTGGTGATGAAGGACCAAGCTGAAGCCATGAATCCAGGATGCTGCTCTGTACTGCCATCTTCACCTGCATCTTCTCCACTGTCTTCATCAATCCCATCATCCATAAGACGCTCCTTTTAAAACAGAAATTGTCTAAATGGTTTAATTGCTTTAATAAAGAGGCAGAATATATTAATGGAAATATTTTCCTACATAAAGTAACCCTATTAACAGGGCAACTCCCTATGAAGGATCTAGTTGCATAAACATAATACCCATTCAACAGTGGAGTAAGTCTAAGTAGCAGTTCTCTATTAAATATTACAGACAAAGATGAAAGCAGTATTGATCTGGTTTTTCATAATAAGCCTTTAGCTTTTTGTTTTTAAATGTTTAATGATTAATTTCCCTTCTGTCCATCCCACCTATTAAGGTTACTTTTTTTGTGTGTGTGTAAAAAAGAGAAGTGCATTTCCATCGTCATTCCCTTCCGATTCAAGCTGAATTTTGTACTACTATTCAGTTACAAATACAGATTATTTGAAAGAGAGAATACCGGAAAATATGAAACATCCAAGCTGACATTCACCTACCATCTCCTCAAGGTCAGGGTTATTTACATTTTGTCCATCAGGGTTCACTTCTGCATTGTTATTGGCTGCCTGTTGCTGGCCTCCCTCTTGCCTAAAGGGGAACCATCCAGCTTGGTGTCTATGTAATAAAATGAACAATTAAAAGCCTTGTCTCTCTAAATTGTAAAGCTGCTTATGAAATTTCTACAACGGGAAAATAACTGCTATCTACATGTCCAAGTCTCATTAAACTTACTTGCAGATGAAGAACAGATAATCCATTCTTCATCTTGATTGGACTGTTGGGGAAATACTGGAGTCTGAGAATTATTTCTAAGTAACAAAACTAACTGAAGAGATCCCTGTTAACCCAAATATAGAATAAAATGCTTCTTAGAACAGCTAATACCTATATTATTTTAAGTCAACACTGAAAAATTCTGCTCACCGTAAGTTTTTTCCCCTACTTGCCTGTCACCCCCCCCCCCCCAAAAAACCCCACACATTTTATTGATGTCAGTGATCATGGTAATGTGCAAGTGAATATTTTGTTCCTGAGCTACTCAGTTTTAATGATGTTTCTGACAGGCAGTTTTAAGTCGGTAGCACAATCAACCATATTTTAAGTTGAATATGAAAATGCAAAAATCTTAAATGCAGATCTTCTCAAATTTAATTCCTTAAAAATTATCTCTTGAAAGTAGCCCAAGATGAAAGTGCTACGTAATCATTAAGTATTTCTGGCACTTTCCACTTCCATCCAGATCACACTAGGCGCCTTCACCCTGGCTGAGATGGTATTTTTAAATTCACTAAACCTCAGTGTCATTGTTAATGAATTTTGGTAGCAAAAGGCAGTAGCTTCAGTTTTTTTTGTTTTTTGTTTTTGTTTTGGTTTTTTTAAAGGGGGCGTACGGTAAATCTCCTTTTCTGATATCTATAAAGCCCCTGAATGTTGAATTCTGGAGTGTCTCCACGGAGCCCATACAAGTTACTGGGAACATTCAGTAAGTATATCTGTGCTTAATTCAAAATTGAGTTCAGCTTTACAGTTCACCTTTAAGATCCCCAATCAGTAACAATATGTAATTTACGTCAATGCAAACAAATGCTTCTGAAATCAATCGAATTAAATTCAATTCTTCCTTCACTCACCTCTTAAGTTCTGTTTCCATAATTCTATGTTTTCCCTGCAACAGTTAATAAGTTGACATCACCAATATCTAAAAAGCAGCATGTTTTATGTGTGATGCCCATCAGTTTTTACAGGGGAAAAGGGAATCCAGAACTCAAGAATTCTATATTTTGAGACTACATCTGAACATCTGTTTGAAAGCCGAGTTTCTGTATGTGCCCTGTTAATGATTATCATTAATTCTTCCCTTTTACAAATTCTTTGGAGTTCACCTTTACGTTGGAATTCTGAAAAGTGATCCAATTTCACACCTTTAAAAGTTACCTTATAATTATAGTCATACACCGATAATCATGTATCTAAACTACAGCTATTCATAAATGAATATTTTTTACTCACAGATAAACCAGTAGCATGGCTCCCATTACCATGACAAACCGACTGAAGGAAGAATAAAAGTATACAATGCTGAGGAGAATAGCTGCTCTAGAAAATGTGTACATCCAGTCTAACCAGTCTCGATTGAAGTCCTCCTCATTCACTACTGGACCTCCTTGTGCATTCATTTGAACATTCTGGTTTACAGGCCTGTTCTCCTGTGCTGCTACGTTTGGCACTGCTGGGGGCTCATTTGCAGGAACATGCTCTGAATTTACAGGCTGCGCGACAGCTGATCTGACTGGCTCAGTGCTGGATGTTGCCTGGGCTGAAACTGCAGCTTGACTGAAATTTAAAAATATGTTTTCTGAAAAGCCAGCTTTGTATCAGAAGTAATAATATTTAAACCCAAGCTTCCTTACAACTCTTTTGTACAGAGAAAAATGCCCGTTGAAGCACCTAGGAAACTTGAGATCTTAAATACAAGTATATAAAATATACACAAACTTCACAGGTATTGTGTGATAAAGAAGAAATTCCTCTTCTTTCTATAGTACCTCTGGACAGACATGTGGCAGCTCTCACTCATCTTTTCCCTCCTCCATTTTATACCAAATATATACATTATTCTGCAACAAGTTTAGATGCATAACAAGCAAAAAAATCCCCAAATTAATTCAACTAAATTTTCCCTCTTCCACCAGAAGAGATACACAGGATTAGTTTAAGTAAAAGCTCTTTACTTTTTGAGTAAAACATCGAAGTTTGGAAAATAACATGAAATTTCAACTTTAAGAATCATTTTGTTATCAGGTAATAAGTATGTCTTCTCCGGGGTCTCAGATGATTGTGAGATCTAGCACAGAATCAAAGTTGCAGTATCTGGACACCACAAGGTGAAAATAGGGAAGGTTTGGCCTCTATTATAACCCTCTTCCCAGCTGAGGACACGGTTTCTTCTGGACAAAGACTATGCCCACTCCATGCATCCAGTAGCAAAGATGATTAGAGTGACAAGCGGCATTACCTCTCAGTCAGCAGTTGTGTGCTGTCCCCATAATGTTCCCAGCCCCATTGCCAACTGAATAAGGTGGAAGAGAGGAGAAGATCTACCTCTGGGACCAAAATTCTCATCCAGCATGATGCACTGACATTCAACAGGGCTACTTCCCTTGCTTTTTGGCTTAAAACCAATGGAATCCATTTTATTTGGCATGGGAGATTTTTTTCTGGTCTTGCTAACCTCAACTCGAAAATACAATTTTGTAATAATTGTGATTTGAGCCTATTACTAGCTAACCCCATCTTGCAGAAGTGTTGCCTGGGCAGGTACAAGAGCCCAATGAGTCTAATGTCTGTATCACAACAATTCCAGTGGTGAATGTTAATAAAGATACTTTCAAACAGAAGAATTCCACTCTCAATCATAAAACTTTAAAAGGAATACATTTTTAGAAGCAGGCTAAGTAATTTTTAATTTAATAGCCAAATTAAGTTAAGTATAAAATAGTAAAACCAGACAAAAAAAGAAAAGAGGCAAGGCACAGAAATGTCAGTCACACAAACAGCAGCTATCTAGTTTTTTTTATGGCAGGTTGTTATCGCAGCAGTTGCACTAGGACGATACATGAAGTAACTTACTATTGCATGTAGTACTGACGTGCATACATTTGTTGCCACCATATCATCTGTAATGGGCTGAATGCAGGGTACATTGAAAATCCAGTAGAAACACCTTGACCTGGAAACTGGGTGCCTATGTTGCTACAGAGAATTAAAAGCAAAAAACCCACTCAGACTATGGCTATTAATAATTACAAATACATTTATTATTGTAAAATATAGATTACACTGAGCACTTTTTTCTTCATGTACTCCATGAGAATTCAATATCAATAAAATTGTAAAGACATCCTTTGGATAAATACCTGATCCATCACACAAACGGTATTATTGTGCAAAATGAAGAGCTCTTTGTCAGAGATAAAAGGTCATCACAATTATGTGATCAATCCTCATTTGAATGTACCAACATTATTTCCATTCTAAAAAACATTTGTTGCATCTAGAAGCTCTATCATTAACTACATCTGACTAATGGGTTTGTGGCCAAATAATCATTACTAATTATTTCATTATTAGAAGACAAACTTCTTAAAATCAGAGCTCTGATCAAACAGTGTGTATATATTATAGGGAGGGATTAACTGCACTAGAAGACTTCACACGTTCAGAACCCACTACTACAGGCATTTCAAGGAACTATCAGTGTTTAAGGCCAGAAAGGACTACCAGATCATATATCCTGAGCTCCATCACATCACAGGCCACCAACACCATGTGCACACTAAACCCAACAACTGAAATTAGACCAACGTATTACAGCCTACAGAAGACTGTTACGTGCCACAGGCAGAAAACAAGAGGGACTGAGGTGCGTGAATATCCAAGGCCCTGGCAATGGCAGGGAATTGATTAAAATGTACTTTAACTCTATTATAACTTTCGCTTTGGAAGCAATGATAGAAATATCATGATTCACAACCACAAAATCAGCAAGGATTGACTGGGTATAGAAAACAAGCTACCCTCTCACCCCTAGAGGTGGCCCCTTTGCATCCTGGTTGCAAGACGCTGGAAGAACATTGTGGGTAACCTTACTGTAACACAGCTCATGCAGTCTGGTTTGTGGATAAAAGAACTTTGTGCCATAGGGAACCTTCCCCATGCATTAAATTCACATGCAAAAAATAAAGAAACTCCTACATGGAAGCTGAAGGAAGTGAAAAGTATTTTATATCTCACAGGTCACACAGTATGTTTTGGGACAATTCCCAATTCTTTCCAAAAAACTCTGGGGTTTCTTATGGCATCTTTCAATGGATTTCTCAGCATAAAGCAATAGTTTTTAAAAGTTTATTCATACTGCAGTTAGCAACAGTAGCAAATGCTGCAAATATACAGCAGGCTACAATTCTGTCCTGGGTAGATCACTGGCTGGAAAAGTGTTACCAAGAGATCCCACTAGTCCACCAAATATTCAGATAGGCAAGGAAAGTCAAATGAGAGGAAGGAGAAGTAGAAGCTATCAATATTTTTGAAGGAATTTTTCATCTTTGCCCAAAGCACTCAAGAAAGAAGAGAGATGATCGTATTATGAAAATGTACAGAGTGGGATTTCAAAAGGAGACGCCAAGTGGGATGAGTTTGGCATAGCGAATGAACTTGGGACAGTATCATTACTTCACCCTTCTTGCTCCTGAGTTGAACCCCTGGATATCAGTGCTACCTTGGTATTATGCTGAGACAATTTGTAGGAGCGTAGCAAGTCCCTTTTTAAAAATATTTGGTATAGCTTAGTTTTCTTTTAGTTGTGCTCCACTCTCCGGTAACAAGCTCTGAATTTACTCTAGCAAGTTCTTCATTTTTGTGATCTGCAGCACATTCCAAAACACCAAGCTTGTTTACAGTTGTTAAAAAAAATATATATTTTTCCCTCTCCCACAGTGATGCTGCTTGGAATGCTTGGAAGAGGTGTTTGGAATTTGTGACTCCACTTCATACCGCACTTGAAAATTTGTGACACGGTACTTAAAAAAAAAAAAAAAAAAGCATACTTCCTCTCCCTTCAGAGTGAAGTAACAGAAAAAGAAGCTAGTCATAGTTAAACCAAAACTACGGGAGACTTTAATAATACAGTGTCCTAAGCTATTTCTGCTTCTCTTACACCAAAACAATTTGCATGCTTTATTATTAATTACTGGAAACTACTGAGAGGCAAGACGCACTTTCATACCTAATAATGTCAAACTCTGAGGCCCATTGAGTTTCTCATTTTCTATCACTCAGAGAAATCTTGGCTTCAGAGAAGCACTCTGTGATGCTAACTTGTCAAGCTATATTTGATTTACTTGGAAAACTCAACAGATGCTAGTACAAAAATAAGTACACAGCCAACACATTTGAAAGCTATCAACAGGGACATTTGGGGAAATACAGGGGCAATGCTTAGAACTCAATTAAATACATTGCATGGCAGAGTGGAAAAACAATATTTAACCAAAAAACTGACAGTCCCTCCCAAGTAAAGAATTGGTGCACTCTCTCTGGGAAGGAGAGGGAAAGAGGGAGCATGAGCAGCTTCCACTTTTTCCTCAGAATGGAAGGGAAAAGAGGCAGGAAGCAGAGTAGTCCAGGAGTTTGGAAGCCATGGAAGAGCAGGAAAGCAGAGCAGAACAAGCTAGAACTACCTCTGCTGCTATTCCCACAGCAGAGGAAAAGCAAGCAGAACAGAGACAGCCAAAGAAGAATGGAGCTGTCTGAGGCCAAGGAGCACCAGCATGTCCAAGAGTGACCGCAGCCTCAGAACATTCGTCCAAAGAGACGAGAAGCCCAATATTTCTTAAGTGGTTGAGGGTGGGAAGAGAGCCCAGAATTCACTAATTTGGAGGGACCCAGGTTTAAATTTTGAATGTAAAGGAGAAACCCAAAATGTACTAAATGAGCTATGTATGGGAATAAGGTTTTGGAAAAGGTGTATTTTTTGCAGGGGAGAATAAGATTAGTGCATAGAGGAATACCATTGTTGATTTACTGGTGCGGGAATGAATATGTGGCAATAGGCATACCTTTGATAGGGAAATGGCACAGGTAGTTTTTACTCTGGCAAGTAGGCTGAGTCTTAGGATATGATAACATTAAATATTTTTCGATCCCTGTGTAACTCTTTTATTCAGAACATGGTATCTGGTTAAGAATGGTTTTAGAAGGTTAATTATGTTTTGCAAATACCCACTATACTATCTTCCTAATATTTCATTTTGTTTGAAGTAATTGGTGAGCAGCAATGGTTGTCCTGGATATAAGGGCGTTCTACAGCAGAGCTGCTAAACTTGTTTTGTGGAGACTGCTGAATTATTTATTATCCATAGGTTAGGGCCATATACCAGCCTCAACAGGTTAATTTCAAAGTGGCAATGGAAGGTTAGCACAAACAGTATGTGACCCTTATACAGCAACTCAATTTTTAGTTAACTAACTACTATATTCAGTATTATTAATTGAAGTAAAATGGTAGAGATCATTTATCTGCCTTCTGTTTATTTAACCATATGCACATGCAAATCCGTGCCTAAAGTTATTTGGCAATGTGATTCCTGCTGCTGTCACTCGTCTTCAGAGCTCAAACCTCACTGGAGTAAACTGGTTCAGTTCACAACTTGCAGAGCTGTTTCAGACTAAAACAGCAATGCACCAGGTCATTTTTACACTTTGCAGAGTTTGAGCATCATGAAGGCCAGTTACATACATCATACTAGCAAGGAGTTTGACAATCCTGTTCTTCAGTGGGAGTGCACATCTATATAATATCCTTTGGCTCAGGTTTATGGAGTTCCACTGCCTCCCCCACACACCATTTCATCTCCTACATTATTCAGCCAAGCTGTCTCCTACCCAAACAGGAAGCAAAACCACCTCCCTACTGTTGTCACTGTCACCTCTAATCTTCTAACGTGCTTAGATATCAAAATGACAGAAACTTAAAATTAATTCCTCTGGTCCTTTTGTATATATTCTATATTTTGCTTTTTTTTTGGGGGGGGGGGGGGAGGGAATATTCTGTACAAGATGGGAGTTCTCTCATCATATAAAATCCCTAGAAACCAGGAAAGCAAGTTGCAAAGGGAGAGGATGCAAGATGTGTGACTTTGTTTACACATTCCTGACCTAACCTCAAAAAACACTTTGAAAAAGCCACACCCCAACCTAAACTTACCCACATTATCTGGGGGTTTATCTACATAGCCCTATACTTCAGACTACAGGAGTGCAAACTGCAGCACACACCCACTGTAACTGCCCCATGTTTACATCAGCACCATTCACATGGGGCAGTTACAGCACAGCACGTAGGTGTATGGGGGGGAAATGCTGCAACTCACATCCCTGTAGTCCAAACTGCAGCACAGTGCGGACATAGCCTAAGGGATTATTTTCTGTGGGAAGAAGTTGGACTTCTTAGTAAGTTTTGTAAGAGGTTGCACATGTCCTACTATGATAAGCATCAAAACGCATTTTATTTCTAGGTTGGATTTCCTTGGCCTGTCTATCTGAAAGATGATCACTGTGTTGTCCAGGTAGTTTGTGTCTGCATAGTTTAGACAATATTTTGCTCCACTGCAAAATCCTCCTCCATTCAAGATACCAGTCTCATTTTAGGTAAGCAACAGTTAAGAAATCCTAAAATTTATTACAAAAGGATTATGTTGGAAAAGTGTACTGGGTACTCTTATTTTAAAAGATATGTTGTTCCATTTACCGAAAGCAGTTGTTTTGAATTATTAAAAAGCAATACAACTATTTTATTGACAATTTATTTTGTGACTACATAGCCATAGAAATAAGGGATTATAGGTGAGAGGGCCTAACCTAATAGTAACCGATCCTTGATAACATGCTACTGCTATATGTACATAGTTATCTATGCTGATGACTCAGATCTCCCTCTTCACTCTCCTGTCCAAACTAACATCTCTTCTTATCTTCCTGACACGAATATAAGCTGATGCTTGGCATCCACAAAGGGATGGAACAGAGCTTTTAACCTCTCATCTTCCTCAGTCCCTCCTCCCTCAGTCACTGTGGACATCATCATCCTCCCTGTCATTCAAAACTGTAATCAATGTACAGTCTTAGACTCTGCTCTCTCTAGGAAAAAAAAACAAAGGGGCTAATGGCTGCAAATTAACCCAAGTCATTAAGAGGGCTGCTGTCTACACAAAGACAGCAGATAGGATTGGTACTGGCATGAAATAATCACTCAGCGATTAGTGAGTCTGGTGTCTAGCAACCCACAGCTAAAGATTTTTTTAAAAAAATATGGATCAACCTGACAATGTTTATTAAATTATTCTCTAGAGAAAACATCAAATAACTTTTTACAGTTCACTTTAACTGACCCTTAGCCATGCCTCTAGGTGTTAACATACCAAGCCTACTTTTCTATAATAGTGCATTCCAAGTCACCTAGACCTTGGTATAAGGACTTTAGAGTCAGTCTGCAGGTGAGAGGGACAAATGGTCTAGTTCATTTATTTAGATTGCACGCTGGTGAAATGTTTATGACCTGTATGGCAAGTTCATGTGAAAAGCTGAATTTATCCAACCTTCCCCCAGACACCTCCTCCCACCCCAAAAAAAAAGATTTATAAGAAAAGCCCCTATATATGATGAACATACCACAGGTTACCTTGAGAATGAGCTTATTACTCTACATTGAGCAGTTTCCCTGACAGTCAAGCTAGCCTCACCCAGTTTCCTCAAAAGACAAGTGTGTCACTATTTACCCAAGGAATAAGTGTTCACAGTGCAACATAATACATAAATTTTCCTACCATATTACAAAGCAGATTTTTTTCTTCCTAGCAGAACCTGAAGGTAGTCTATCAGGTTATGTTGCATACCATTACAAGACAGCCTCTTATATCTGTTATCCAGGATATCCATGAATTACTACTACAGTTCAATCCAATGTGGACTAGGAGCCAAGTGTCAAACTGCTTCTCTGTACGTGTGTATGCCATAAAAAATTCAGAGTCAACATTGTTCTTGTATGAATTTAATGTTAGCTAATCTTGTTGATTAAAATAAAAGCGATAAGGAAAAAAACATCAGCTGATGCTTAGTGGATTTATTTGCTTGTGTTTCAACCACAAATGGGGATATCAGTCACACCACCCAAAAGTAAGAGAGCATCAGCAGAAGAGGCAAAGTGTACGAGGGTAGGACAGAAAAGAAAACAGTATGGAAGGCAGCATTGATAATGCTTACTCAGGGACTTACTCTTAGATAATCAAAGATATATAAAGATTGATTACAGGAATTTTAAAAATCATGATATTAATTACAAGTCATTCCATCATAGACTATGGAGTAACCAGAATTTCAACTAAAAACCTAAAAAATGAAAAGGAGATATCTACAGCAAAAATACATATTTTAAACAGCGCTATGCCACGATGTTGAGGATTACTTCAAATTCACTTACCCTTGCATTAAATATGGGAATTGGTGGCTTTGCACAGGATTGCTTTGTGCTTGTGGAAGGTTACGATGCCTCACTCCATCTGAGCTAGAGTTTATAGAAGTAGATAAAGATTCTTGGCTTGTGGGTGATGGAGTTGTTGATCCAGAATGTTCTGAATTCTTAAAATAAAATAGTTTCCTTTAATATTTTCACCACACTTATAGAGGGACTCAATATTTCTATATAAGCATTAAAGGCATGTTCTTAAGTGTGCTGTCTAAAGTCTCATTAATTATATATGGTGTGGACATATGCAACAAGAAACTTTTGTTTTAAAAAAGGCGCTATTAGTGCGCCAGATTTTCCAAAAAAGCATGCAACTGCCCATCCAGGCATAGAAGTAGGAAGCCAGGTTTGCAAAAATGCTCAGCACCCAGCAGCTCCCACAGAAAAAAATCTAAATGGGAGATGTTGGGTAACGAGCTCTTTTTTTGGTCTGGCTCATAATAAATCAGCACTTAACGATTCTAATCAAATGTTTAACAGTGAACTGAGATACTAATGGACATCACTAACAGAAGTTGTTGTTGGTGTCTCTCATTGTTCTTAAACAATTGCACAACCCAGTTTCGCAAGTCATGCCTGTCCTTTAAGTGCCCCCTACTGGCTTAGCATGGCACTGTAGGTGTTCCCTGCCTCAATTTCCTTCCTTCAGACACCTCAGTAACTCCACACAAAGACACCAGTCAGTTCTGGCATAGGCGGCGGGTATAATAGGCCAGTGGAGCACTGATGCTGACACAGGATGCCCAGTTGCAGATTTGGCGGGGGAAGTTTTTGCTTTTATTATGTCCCATGCAGGTTCCAGGGCAGCTGAGAAAGCAGTATATGCTATTCAGCTTCCTGGGTTCATCAGTACTCTCCCTGGACTCCAGATAGATCGTTGATGAACCCAGGAAGCTGAGTAACACATACTGCCTCCTCAGCCACCCCGAAATCTGATTGGGGCATATCAAAGGCTCAGGTTCTTCTTCGGGAGGAGATGCTGCGGCTTTTCCCGGGTAGCTTAGGGTCTGGAGAAGGGAAGGGGAGGCATGGCCCAGCTGGCCAGAGGCTCCTCCAGCCAAGAGGGGGTGCGCTCAGCCCATAGCTTCTCCAGCTGAGGGGGGATACTTGGGGCTCCTCTGGGTGGAGGGAGGGAGGCTCAATGCTCCTGTTGCAGGCTGGGGGTGGGGGGGGAGGAGGAGGAGGAGGAGATATCAGGGCTCCACTCTGGGGGCTGGGTGGAAGGGGCGGAGCCAGGGGCTAGCTTCCCCCAAGGGGGGCTCCACCTGCCACCCATGAGTTCTAGAGATGTGGCTTAGCCCTCTGGCCAAGTCACAAACAAATGTAAACCCTTCTGGGGTATCAAAAGTCCAAATGAAGAGTCCCAACAAATAAGAAGATTCTTCTACCCTTTGGGGGCTTCTCTTCAGCCTGCCCCCTGGGCTATAGTTCCCAGACCCTTCCTGGGCTACTTCTGAAAGACCTTCTGGCTCTAGGATAGAGCACTTGGCCCCCAAGTTCCCTGGAGTACGCAATCTTCCACAGATGCTGGCTCAGAGCCTTCCACAGGAGCCTGCCTGCCTGCTCCCTGTGATTCTACACCAGAGTGATCTCTGTGTCCTCTTATGAGGCCCAGCTGTCCATTAAGCTATCACCTGACCCCTTATTCCTGCCCTCTTAGGTTGGGAAGCAGCTAATTAATTATGCCACAGATGCAGTTGACCCAAGTCTCCCTCCAAAGGGTCAGGACAGCCAGTCACCCTGACACACCCGGAAATGAAGATCAGAATGCAGGGTGGCAAAGTTTCTAGTATAGCCAGCCACCTGGACTAGAATTTGTCTAATAAATACGTTATTATATTAGCTTTCATAAACCCCAACTCCTAATATTAGCTTTTAAAGTATAGTGTTTAAATATTAGAAAAATCCATTCAAACTAAACTAGCTCTGAAGAACAGAAATTAGAACAAGGTCAACATGCCACAGATGTCAGCATGGGAACAAACATCTATACAAGCCCATCTGCCCGCGACAAAAAGCATGCAAGAGATAGTTTTACCTACTAGAGTGACAACTGAAGAACGGAAGAAAGAAAGAATGATGGATAAAGTCCATCTGCTTTCTGATGGATGCTTTTTCTACTAGATTAGGAATCTGGAACTGTGTACTAACATGCTTTAAAATAATTACTCTGCAGACATGCATACCAGTAGTTTATAATGCAAAGCAATAAGAGTGGAAGCCAATTATTTCAAAAACTATAATATAAATGTAGACTTTTTGAAAAGAAATATTTATAAAATCCCTCTGAATAATTCATTGTACTCAAGTATTGCCCAGAGATTGGCTTAAGCTCTTCAGCTACATGGGCAAGTCCCAATCTGTAT